GGGGGCGCGCGGGCGGCGGGGTCCGGGCGCCCCTCGCGCAGCGTCGCTGCGGCCGCTGGGCCCCTCGGCGCCCGGGCGGAGCGGCGTTCTCACGGAGTGTCCTCCCCTCTCCCGCTCCGCACCGCCCCTCTCCCCTTCCCTCCTCTAGTTCGGCGGCTTCTAGCACCTTGCTCTGAGCTCCCAGCACCCCCGCGGTCTCCGGCCCGGACTTTGGGGGGCCTGGGATGCAGACGTTGCCACTCTGGAGCGAGGGACGTAGGTGGCACGGGTTCCGTCTGCAGCCCCTTCCCTGGAGGGGGCGGGGGTGGAGCTGTGGGGGCAGGGAGACTTCTGAGGGAAGGGGCTTGATTTCAGCTACTCTTCCCCAATCACCGCCCACCAACCCCCCCAATGGGGTGTGGCCACGAGCCCCTTCCAGAAGGCGACACTATCTCCCAGTGGGATCTGTAAGGGCCTGTTGGGGATGAGGGGTGGGGAGGGAGGACTGAGTGGGAGACCGAGGTGCTGACTTCCAGAACCTGGAGGTGCTCAGCTGGAAGAGCATCTCCTCCAGGTTGTGCCTTCATTCGTTTGCTCATCCATTCATAAACCCTTCCTGATGTGAGCCATGTGCCCTGCAACCTTCCTCCGGACAGGGGCCCTGCGAAAGAGGCACTACACCCCGTCCCCTGGCTGCAGAGGAAGAAACCAAGGTGCAAGTCCCCATGGCCTCTTGCCCAGCACCCCGTGCCCCCACGCTGTGGGGGATGCAGAGGCAGGATGTGAGTCATCCTTAGACTCCAGCCCCAGCCTGGTCAGTCCTCCCGATTGGCCAGCAGGGCTGTGACCTCCGAGGGGCTGCCTGGACCAAACACTCTCCACTTCGGTGTGTTCTCTGAACCATGGTTGACTTTCTCTTCACCTGGCTAACTCCAGCTCAACCTTCACCATACAGCTGGGACATCACTTCCCTCAGGAAGCCTTCCTTAACTTCCCAATCCTGCAGGTCAGATCTGGTGTCCAGGTCTGTGTTCTCCAACTTTCTTCCTTGAGGACGGCATTATTTCCACCTTGTGGGGCCAGCTGGGCACTGCCACAGTTCAGGTCAGAACAGGGCTCTGGGACAGAACTGATTTCATTTATTGAACAGACCCTTGGAAGAGCTGGGTCCAGTGACCTGTCCCTGCCCACACCCACTCCGTGTGGAAATACTGGAGGGTTCCAGAGCTGCTCAGAGCTGAGAGAGCACTTCCCCCCTAACACGACCCCCCACACCACCCTGCCCACTTGGCCCAACATCACCTTCCAAAGCATGGGTGGGGAGAAGGCATGAGCTCCACATGGACCACTCCTGTGACCAGGTTGAGGGGGGCGGGAGGGTTGGGGTGGAGATACAGTTGGGAGGATGCATCTGGACATTCACTTAGACTGGGGGGAAGGAGGTCTCAGGGGTCCAGTTCCAAGGGTCTTTTGAACCCCTACCTAGTTCTTCCCCAACGGACATAGCCCTTGCCTTTTTATGTGTTCATGCCTCAGGTTATTCTGCTCTGATCCCCTACACCATTCTGTGCTGGGCTCTGCCAGTCAGTGAAGATACCAAAGCCCTGCCTTGGGGAGATCACGCTAGGGAAGGATTGGTGGCGGGCTGAGGGGTCCCACCCTCCCCACAGCTCAGGCCCCACTTCTCCATTCCCACCCCTTCCATCCTTGGGCATCGTTCTGGGCTGCTTCAGGTGAGGATTGAAGATGGGCAGGAGGAAGTGTTTCCTTATTGATCAAGGGGGGCCCCCAGGCCCAAGTTATGAGTTATGTGCTGATAACGCTGCTGAGGGAATGGAGAAGGGGCAGCGAGCAGGCGGGGTGGGGGGCAGAGAGGAGGGAAGTGCAAGGGGGGTACTTCCCTCAGGCTGGAGGAACCACAGTCTTCATGACTGGCCAGCAGTTATGAGTGGAGACCTGTCGCACCATGGCCAGGGGCTTGGTCCCTGTGCAGAGCACAGCAGCGGGTAGGGGCTCGGGTGGGGAGACAGAGGAGCCCTGGATACAAGTCCTGTCCGTCCAGCCTCTTACCACAGGACTCGATGAGTCCCTTTCTCTGGAGGGCCTCAGCTTTCCCATCTGTACGATGACATGGTCTCTGCCACTTTTGGTTTGGTTTTGCAATATTCACTGGGTACCTGTGGGCCTGGTCCTCTGGCCCGGGCTCTCGAGAGGAGGAAGTAGACAGGGACCACTCAGAGTGATGTGGGCTGTGATGGACGGAAGCCCTGGGGCTGGGGGAGCACAGCGAAGTCAGGGGAGGCTTCTGTGAGGAGGTGTCATCTGCACTGATCCTTGAAGAATGAGACTCTTCCCAGCTTGTCCTCTGCTCAGAAACCAGGACAAAAGCCTCATGGAGCAGATGGCTCTGTGGAGGTCAGACCCTGCTCCACCCGGAGGGTGTAGGTGAGTGAGGAGGGGTGTGTAGGGCATAGCCACGTCTTCTGCATAGCCACACACACCTGGGCCAGGTCCTCCTTGCCCCAAACCCTGTGGGAACATGGGTCTTGATGTGGATCTCCAGGGAAAGCCTAATTGTTTTTCCATTAAATTTAAGCCACTAACAGTTTTTTAAAAGAGTTTATTTATTTGACACAGAGAGAGAGTGAGAGAGAGCACAAGCAGAGGGAAGGGTCAGAGGGAGAAGCAGACTCCCTGCTGAGCAGGGAACCCGATGCGGGGCTCGATCGCAGGACCCCAGGATCATGACCTGAGCTGAAGGCAGATGCTTAACTGACTGAGCCACCCAGGTGCCCCTAAGCCGCTAACATTTATTGAGCACCTACTGTGTGCCCTCACAGTGACCAGAAAAGGGCAACGTACAGTAGGTTTTAGTAGGATTAGTAGTTGTTTTGTGAAAAAGAAGCCTTCAGCCTGCCTGGCCACTGTGGAGAGAGGGAGGCACAGACACAGGAAGGGGGTGAGAGTGTTGTGTTAAGGGGATCCTTGGAACTGGGCTTTTCAAGGTGGGGGGCTTTTTTTTTTTTAAGATTTTATTTATTCATTTTTGAGAGCGAGAGAGCACAGAAAGGGTAAGGGGCAGAGGGAGAAGCAGACTCCCCGCTGAGCAGGGAGCCCGATGTGGAGCTTGATCGCCGGGGTCATGACCTGAGCTGAAGGCGGACACTTAACCGACTGAGCCCCCAAGGTGGGCAGAGAGGAACGGGAGGCCTCCAAGAGAACACAAGCCAAAGCTTGGAGGCTGGAATGTTTGAGATTGTTCGGGAGCAGTGAGAGGGCCGGGGCAAAGAGGAAAGGCTGGAGGTCTTGTCTGGAGTCAGATCACCAAAAGCTTTGAAGGGTGGAGTCACATACAAGAGTCTCAGGACGGGACTCAGCTCAGGAGCCACCTCCTCCTGGAAGCCCCTGGGTTGGTGCCTCACCTGGACTCCGTGTCATGGCGGTGACCATTTTGTCTGTCCAGGCCATGCTCCTGTCGGGTTCACTGCTGCCAAGAGCCTGTCCCTGAGGAGTTGCCCAGAGTTTTTGCGAACCTGAAAAAATCTGGTCCAGCCCCTCTACCTAGCCAGTGAGCTCTAGAGGCCCAGGGCCAGGCCTTAAGGGCTGAGGAATCCCATCTGTGGTTACTGTGGGCCTGTGGTTCATTTCTGTGGCCAGCCTGGAGCAAGAGACTGGGATATCTCTGGCCCCAAATTCCAGAGAAACCAGTCAGTAGATCAAAAAGGGAAGGACGCTGAGCTGCAGTCCAGAGAGAAAAATCCAGGTCAAAAACCTGATACAGGGGCCCCCTGTGGAACGTCCAGCGGTACCCCGCTTCAGGCCCTGCCCGACGCTGCCACGTGGAATCCATTTGCAAGAGCTTTGCCCAAGCGAATGCAGGGCTGGTGTCTCCAGGGCCCGGTTCACCTCTGGTTTGGACCCAGGAGGGCTGTGAGATCAGGGTAGCAGGCAGGGAGGGAGGGCACGGTGTAGCCCCTCAGCCCCTACCTCAGCCCTCCCCAGCCCCCCGGGCCCCTGGCTTCAGCTTCTCCAGTGTTCTGCTCACCGTGGACAGGCTGCTGCGGGCTCCTGGGGGAGAGACCAGGACAGGGCCGCCTGAGCAGACAGACTCTGGAGCAGAGCAACCCAGAGGGACCATGGGGGGGAGAGGGGCATCCCAGGGGACAATTTCAGCTGAATTTAAAGAGGCACAGATGGTCAGAATGGCCCTTCAAGAGGACAGCAGCATGGTGGGGGTGGCTAGAGAGAGGACTCTGGGGCCAAATACCTGGTTTCAGGTCTGGCCCAACCACTTCCTAGTTGCCTTACTTAATGTCCCTGTGCCTCAGTTGCCCCACATATAAAGTGGGCCTAATTATAGTACCTTCCTTATGTGGTTGTTTTGAGAATGGAACAAACTAACATATGTGAAGTGTTTGGAGCAGGGTCTGGAAGGGGACCTTTTGCTGGGATTAGGCATCCTACCCCTGGTGGCAGACGCTGTGGGCTGGGGCCATCTTTGAGAAACTCCTGCCCTAGAATTTTCCGGTGTGTGGAGATGGGAGAGGAGGAAGATGTTCCATTTCAGGCACCAGCTCTGAGAGCTGGATTCTGTCATTGGAGAAGAGAGTGAAAACGGAGAAGAGAGTGAAAACGTAAACTCGGGCATGGGACCTAGGGACGGTCCCAGTGTCCATGGTGGGCATGATGGAGAAGGCCTGAAGTCAAACAAGGGGAGCCCGGCTCAGCTTGGAGCAAGAGGGGTTTTGACCAAACACATGGCAGAACCGCCCGATATGCTGGCTCCCGGTGCCTGGGGATGTCCCTTCTGCGTGTCCCTCCAGGCTCCTCCCAGGGTCTCACAGAGCTGCTCAGCCAAAGAGCGAAGATGGAAGATGGACTGGAATTTTTAAAACTTACCCTCTTTATTGCCGTTGGCACTGGATCTTCCCTCCCCATGGTCTGGCCCTGGGTGGGGGTGGATTCTCAGGCTCCCTGCGGGATAAGACCACCCCAAGCCCCATGGTTACTAAGCCATTCTCAGACCAAGTCTTACTGTGGGAAGGGAAGTCCTTCCCGCTGTCTCATCTCCATCCCTGCTGCTGTCTTTGCTCCACCACACTCCCCGAGGTGACCCACATGATTAGGGAGTGGAGTTGGAAGAAACCGGCCCTTGAAGGGGAGGAGGGTGGACTTTTTAAGGAGGTGGGCGTCATGGGGAGAACTAGGAATATGTAAAGCCCTCCAGGATTGATGGAGATGGTAGCATGTATGTGGGGGGCAGAGATGAGTAAAGGAGCTATACAGGGGTCCTGAGGTCTTAGGAGTGGTAGAGGGTGTTTATGGGGGTTCAAGGAATGAAATGGGCTTATCTGGAGATCTTGGAGGCTTTGGGGGAGTTGGAAACTCTCTCCGGGGGAGATGGGAGTTCTGGGCGCTCTGAGCTGGCTGAGGCACATTTGTAGCAACAGGCTGGAGTCTGCTGCACAGTAGTCATGGCAACGCCAGCAGACCGCACCTTGTGCGCACGCGCGCGCGTACACACACACACACACACACACACACACACACACACACACACACACACACCCAGAGCCAGGAGCAGTCACACACATGGGCTCGGCTCCACCACACAGTGTGCCACATACTTACACACAATGGGTCTCACCCAGCAGGCCCTGGAAGAGGGCTCTGCTGGGGGCTGGGGGGAGGACTCACCTACGGTGGGCAGAATGTGGTCCAGGTTGAACCGAGCCTTTAGGAACGTGTAGGCCAAGATGAGGAGCCCTGAGAAGAGAGACACAGAGGGGTTCTGTGATGGGGAAGGGGCCTGGTTAGTGCAGGCTGCATGAAGCTGTGGGTAGGCTGTGAGCCTGGGGGTGTTTTCTGAGGGGGATATGGGTGTGCATGGGAGGAATATGAGTGTGTAGGTTGGGACTGTGGGTGCGTAAATGTGAGCCTGTGAGTGTTGGGAGGGGGCGGCTCCCCAACACCCAGCCCTAAGGCGGGGGCAGGGAGTCGTGCCTATCTGGGGAAGGGTCTCCAGGCTGTGAAGGCCCAGGCTCCTAGCTCCAGCCCGCCCAGGTGATTAGCATGGTTGGCTTCCTTCCTTCTCAGCTGGCTGGAAATGGGCCCAGCTGACATCACCACCTACTCTCCTTTGCCCTGCCCTCCCCTAGGGCAGGACTGGGAGCTCCTGAGCAGGCTTCTTCCCACCCAGACCTGGGGAGGGCTTTAGCAGAAGAGTGGACGGTGCCCTACCCACCCCCATTTCATCCCCAGACCAAGTGTCTGTGGCCTTTGGCAGGAGTTTGCAGGTCTGGATGCCAAGAACCCACCAGCCCGGTGCTTCTGGCTCTGCTTTTGCCCCAGTGTGGTGGAGTGGGGAGAGGGATGGTACTCAGCATCATTGTGGGGATATCAGTGGGACTGGCCCAGATAGACAGATGGTCAGATGCCTGGAAAGACAGACAGATGCCCTGCCAAGGTATACCAGGAAAGTTGGATCTTATCTTGGTTCACAGAGTGCCCGTTGGGACCTCTGAACTCTTTTACCTGCCCCCTGTCAACCCACCCCCAACAGGCTGATGAATTCCACCAAAAACCCAAGGGCCCAGAGCTTGGAACTAGAGGGCCAGATGGGGAGCAGCCAAAGAGGAGTGTGGCAGCCGGCTCCCTTCTCCACAGTGTCCTTATCCCTGGCAGAAGGAACCTCACCCCAAGCCTCCTCTGCCTCCCCGCGCCCCGACAGCTGCCTTGCTCACACCTCCCCAACCAATTCCTGTTGAACCAGCCCTTCCCCCCATTTCTTATTCACCGGACCATGCCCCTGCTCCCTCTCTGAGCCCGGCACCTGCTCACCCAGACCAGCGGCGCCAATGAAGATGCCACCCACGGCAGCTGCAGCTTTGGACACGGACACACCGATGATGATGCTGCCGGCCACCAGGCTGAGGGCCACCCAGGCCAGCTGTAGGCAGCGGAAGTCTCTGCTGCTGATGGGGATGTCCATGCAGGTCTACCCAAGGTACTGTCTGCAGCCGGTGGGGCCTGTCCCCAGGAAGGCCCTGGAGGGCTCGGTCCTCTTGGATGTATCTTTGTTGGAGCTCCACCTTCAGAGTGGGAATTTCTGGGCAGGAAGATTCGGGGCTAGTAACCCTATCCCACAGCTCCCCTAGGGGCCCCCAGCCGCACCTTGACCTAGAATCCCTGCCAGGTCATGCCAGCCTACTCTTCCTCCCGTGAAGGCCCCTGAATCTGGAGGCCACTCTTGGGACTCTTGGCTGATCACATCCTGCCTTGGCTGTCAGAGTCCTGGGGAGCCTTCCTGCCCCACCGGGTCCCCCCTGTTAGCTTCCTCTCAGGAGGGCTTAGCCTGAGCTGCCCTGCCCAGGACACCCCGCCCTTGCTGTCTGGAGCCTGCTCTGCTGCCACTGGGCCTTGGCCTATTAAAGTTTAAAGCAGTGGAGGAGGTTGGTCCAGGGGCCACAGGTTCCTCGGAGATGCAGGCAGCTGGGAGGTCCTGAGTTATTCATGAGTTTGCAATGTGAGCTGCTGCTTGCCCCAGAGGCCCGCTGGGGCTTTCAGCCCAGGTTCCGCTGCTGGTTCCTGAGGGGGCAGGATAGACTGGTGGCTTCCCGTGTGGCTTAGCAGCCAGGGATGTGAGGGGACTCTCTGGCTGCATGCTCAGGGCCCACTCTGTGCTCTTCTGCCATCTGGCTCATGAGGCTTCTGCTAGGGACTCAGAGGCGGGCATGGGAGGGGCCCTGGACGAGGCTCAGTGACTGGGACAGGAGGAGAGAAAGAGGTATTCCACTGAGTTCATGCTCTTCCCCTTGCCCCTCCGCCAGCCTGTCAACCTCCGGTCTCCAAGGGGGAGCAGGGCTGAGGGGTCTTGGTCTGAGGCTGATTTCAGGGGACCTCCTTCTCCTCGGGTAGGCTTGGTATCCACCCCCTTAGTTGCCAGTGGGATGAAAGGGCGAGCCCCCCAGCCCTCCTGGGATCCCTGGCAGGGGCTGAGAAGGAAGAGCAGGGAGCAGAGGGGCGGGGGGAGGAGATGGGGTAGGAGGAAAACAAATACGGGAGAAGGATTGGCAGGGACTGGGTGCCAGTGGCCAGGGAACATGGCTAGCACCTCCTGTCTAACGTACTTGCAGGACCCACCAATTCAAGGCTGGGCAGTGGTAGCCCAGCCCAGCCCTATCCCACCCCCAGACCCGGCCCTCGCCACCTACTGCATTCTCTGGCCCTTGATGGATCAGGGCCTCCCTGATCCCCGAATCTGGACCTGGTCCTATGCCTGCACCTAGGCACCTGGGCCCTCTTCCCAGGGTCCCATCACCAGCCCCACTGGCCTCTGTTTGCGTGCCTCTGTCTCCCCACGATGTCTGCCACCCAACATAGCCAGGCCACAGCCCTCCGCCTCCACAGGGACCCCCTGCCCCTCGCTCCGCCCCTTCTCTGCCACCGCCCTTCTGCTGAGTGTCTGCTCGGTCAGCCCCAAGTCTGTGAAGCCACTCCTGATGGTGCCTGAGTGGGTGCGCTACCTACCACTGCTCCCCCATCATCTGTCCTGTTCTCTGTCTCCTCTGTAGACTGTGAGCCCCTCACGGGCCGGTTCAGGGAGTGAGCCCCACAGAATGGCCCGAGAGGACCTGGCTTCTGAACACAAGGCAGAGCTCAGGGAGGGCCTGGGCCCGCAGGACGACCTTAGGTCAGCATGGAGGAGGGCCATGGGCCCCGTGGGACCTCCGTCTCTAACAAGGGGCTTTCCTTGGGCAGGGGTGGGGGCCTGAGAAGGCCAGGGTCACTGGACTGAGCTTCAGCGGAGGGAAGGCACTGATGGGAGGCTGGAGAGGGGTCTGGGTAAGGACAGGTGTGAACTCAAAGGTACATAGAGAGGAGGGGGACTGCAGAGCACCAGTGGGGCCCCCTGGCTGTATTCTGGGCCCCCATAAGAGGAAGCCCCCGGAGGTGGGCATTCCCCGGCTACAGCAGCTGTGGCCAACGTCCTCTGTGCCGCTCTCCAGGATGAGGTCTGATTATTCCTCTAATTAGGCATCAAATGACAGCCCATGTCTCTGTCACACGTAATTGATCCCCCACTGACTAGTTTTAGAAGGAGCTGTCAAAATAATTGTCTATGACAATGTGTTCCTGAGATGTTGAGCTCTGGGAATCTCAACACCTCACCCCCAGTAAGTGTTTGCATAACTAGCTGGGCAGGGCCGTAAGGCTGAGGGCGGCCCCCACACCGTCAGCAGGACAGGGCACCGCACACTGTGGGACCTGGGCCAGCCGCTCACCTCCTGAACCTCACTTTGCCCATCTGGTGAAGGGGGATGTCGATGGCAGAGGCTGGAGGCAAGGAGGCCTGTGCATTGTGAGTTTCAGATCCCAGAAGAACACTCTAACCTCTAAAAACGAGACCAAATTCGAAATTAAAGGGTTTTGTTTTTGTTTTGTTTTGTTTTGTTTTGTTTGACCTTGTAAATCCCTCAGGGCCCAGAGACATAGGAGGAAATATGGAGGAGAGACACAGTAAACCATTATCAGTTACAAGATCACAGAACTACAAACCCATCCAAGATCCTTATGGAATAGATGGGGAAACTTGAGACACGGGGAGTGGAAGGATGGCCCGAGTCCTTGAGAGAACCTCAGTGCCCAGATTCTGTGCTCAGCTGGGAAGTACTCTAGCATTTCTCTGTCCCTGAATTTCTAACTTGTCCTATTTGAGGTGGGAGGGATTGGCAACCCTACAGTCAGAGGGAGACACTATGTTCAGTCAAGGCCTCCATTTTTTCCCTCTTGACAGGGGAGTGTCATTAAAGGCTACTTGAAACCTTTGTGATGCCTGCTCTCCTGTTGATTGGAAATGTAGAGAGGGAGGCTTGCTTAGTCTTTCCTCAATACAGGCTGTTTCATCTGCGAGAAAGAAAACACAAGCTTGTCCTTGGGTGACGTGCCTCCTATCATAGGTAAAGGAGGTGGAAGCCCGAGTCACTAGAGGATGATTGCCCCGCCTGTTCCCCACCTCGCAAGCCTCGGAGCCCTCCTTGCTGAAGCCTGGGTCCCCGAGGCCTCTGGATCTGGGACGGCGCGTGGGGGGGGTGCATAGGCCCCAGGTCACAGCTGCTTTCCTCCACAAAACCTCTGTTTCCCGGAGAGGCCCGGGCCAGAGCGCACGCCTATGCTCTTTCCTCCCCAGAGGTGCCGAGTCCAAGGCTGGCATGGGCTGGGGAGGAGGAGGGGGTGAAAAGGCCTTGGTGTGGTTTAGTTCCGTTTATTTTCCTTGAGGGGTGAGGACCCTGGAAAAGAGCGTGATTAATGCCCTGGTCCCCTGGGGGACGGGCCGCTTTCCCAGGCTGTTCAGAAGCTGAACTCAGGGAAGTGGCTTCCAAGGCAACTGCTACCATGGCAACAAGAGTGCCAGCTGAGGGGGGACCCGGCTCCTGGCTCCAGGGAGCTGGCACGGGACCAGGGCACTGCTGTTCAGGGGCAGGGTCTGGTGAGAGGCATTCGGCCGGCAGGGAGAAGCGGCCCCCAAGAGCTCAGGCGGGTGGACATCTGGAGGGAGAAAGGCTTGGCCTCTGTGCCCAGGCCCCCAGACAGGGGTTAGACAGGAGTCCTGCTAACTGGGTTAGAGGCAGGAGGCCTGAGGTCTGAAACATGCCGGCTGGCTGGGACCAGCTTTCTCCTAAGGCCTGGTCCACACCTGAGCCCTAGAGCCAAGGGACTGGCCGCCACAGTTCCAGGCCCCAGAGCCTCCCTCAGTGTGTCTGCCATACCTCCCCCTGCCTAGTAGAGCCAGGCATATGGCCCAGGCCTCAAAAAGGGCAGGGGATTTCCCAAGGTCACCCAGTGAAGAGTGGCAGGACTAGAACCCAGGACCCCTGATCCCCAAATGCAGACTCTGCCCTGGCACTACAGCCAAGGGGCCTTGGGGACAGGGACCCCAGCCCAGAGGGGCAGAGCACCCTGTCGGCAGGAGAACCCCACAAAGGGCCAGAGGCCAGGCCCATCTGGAAAGCGCAGATCATCTCCACCCACACACGCCAAGGAAAGGGGGGGAAACTGGTCTCTGTCACTGGCTCCGAGTAGAGGGATTGTGCCCTGTGCTGAGGAGACGGCAGTAAGAAGGACCATAACCGCCACAGCAACCCCGGACCGCACACTGGCTGTGTGCGCCTGGAACTGCACCAACCACTCTACATTTAATCCCTCATTTCACAACAGGACCATGAGGTAAGCCCTAGCAGCCCCAATTTTTGGTTGAAGGAACTGCTGCCCTCAGAGACTGAGTCACTTGCCCAGGGCTCAAAGCTAGTTAAGTGGCAGAGCTGGGATCGGAAGCCGGGCAGCACGGCTCTGCATCCCACATCTCTCCGGGACGAATCCCGGTTCTGTCTTCCTACCTGTACCTCAAGGTCTTTCTCTCTTTTCTCTGCTCAATTCTAAGTGGGGTGACATAATGGTACCTCACTCACCTCACATGACGGCTCTGAAAATTAAAGGAGATAATGCCTGGACATTTCTCCGCCAGCGGCTGTTGCTTAGTGCACAACGCTAACAAAACCGAAGGAGGCGCTGTAGCATTGGAGCGGAGCCGAGGATGACAGCAGCCTCGCCAGGTGGACCAGGGCGGGGAGGCGGGCTGGTAGAGGGCAGCGCCTGAGCAAAGGCACAGAGGCCTGAGAGCTGGCTAGAGCTCCACCCAGAACAAGCCCAGGAGGCCCCTGGAAATCATCTCTCAGTTGGCCAACCCGAAGGACTGACGGGCTGGGGCTGGAGTCGAGACAAAACTCATACCCTGGTTCCGAGTCCCCAGGGACTGGGGAGACTTTGGGCCAAAAGGCTGATTCTGCAGGCCTGTTTTTCCAGCCCATCTGCCTCCAGCGAGAAGAAGTTGCTGCAAAGGGAAGACTGTCAACAGAAAGGATGTCAGCGTCAAGACGGAGGCACTGATGCTGCCGGACGGCCCCTAGAGTGAGGAGCCGCTGACCCCATCTC